ACCTGCTGCCTCCCCGGAGAGCTCCCGGCTCTCCAGATTTTATCCTGTGTTTAATTATTGCCATCTGCTGCTCCTGGCTCCGGGCTGCTCGCGCTGTCTGCTGCCTGTCGGGCTCTGGTTAAGCCAACCCCATTGGATTTCCCTCCCGTGTGGACTCCGGGCTCATTTTCCTGGATGATGTTCCCATTCCCTTCTGACTTGGGGCATCTCTTTCCATTCCACCCAATTTTACAGTTTCATCCGGCTAAATCCTTCCCATTTTTTATCGTGTTCATCAGCGTTGAAGGGTTGCTGGTGGATTTTTGGAGGCTGCAGCATTCCCAGCACAGATCCCATAAAATGTTGAATTAAACAAGCAGGAGGAAGCCTCAGAGAGAGAAAGCCAAGATCATTAAATGCCCCAAACCCCCTTCCAGAGGAGCTCATGACCCACTAACAACTCAGATGAGGAAGCAAATCCTTGTGGTTGAATGACTCCTCAAGATTCCTGTAACACTCCCAGGTCCTACATTCCTGGAGCATTCCTGATTTGTTGTCTCTGGTGGGGGGAGTGTGTTTTGCAAAGCTGTGGCGTGTCTGTGGTGGTCCCCAGGCTCCAGGGGCAGTTTGGGGTCCCTGCCACCCCCAGCAGCCCCAAAAAGCTGTGTTGGAGGGGACACGCCGATGCTGAGGGGATCATGGATGTGTTTGACCCTGACCTGGGTCCCTGTGCCTGCTCCATCCCCAGGTGGGTCTCACCTTTCCCTGCCCCTTCAGCACCTTCCTCCCCTCCTCCGGGGCTCTGCTATTCCCTGACCAAGGAACACATCCCAGTCCATCCCCTCCCTCCACCTCTCCCAGCACCTTCCCTGCCTATTTCCAGCGGGGATTAAGGTTTATTTCTGCCCTCCTCTATCCCATTAGGGGCATTAAAGCAGGAGCCAGCGCCCCGAGGACCTCCCATGTGACTCCAGGAGCTTTTTTAGGCTGAGACCAATTAAGCCACCAAAACTGTCCCTGCTTAGAGGGGGATATCCTCGCTCACCGTGTTTATCCAGTGGGATTTGCCCCATTTGGGCTGGAGTTGCCTGTAGGACCGGGAGGTGATGGCGTGGGGCAGGTGTTGGTGGCTTGGACATTGTCCCCGGGGGTGCAGGGACAGCCCGATGGGCTCTGGGGCCGCGGTGCTGCATCCCAGGAGAGCTCGGGGCAGCGCCAGCCCCGGGGCTGTCCCCAGGCAGCAGCAGCAGGTCCCGGTCCCCGGGGTGGCTGTCGGAGCGGGGTGAGCCCGCGGGGCCCGGCCCCGACCCCATCCCTGCGAGCGGCGGGATCCAGCGGGTCCCGATCCCGGGGGGATCCAGCGGGTCCCGACCCCGGGGGGATCCAGCGGGTCCCATCCCCGGCGGGATCCAGCGGGTCCCGATCCCCGGAGGGATCCAGCGGGTCCCGATCCCGGGGGGATCCAGCGGGTCCCGACCCCGGGGGGATCCAGCGGGTCCCATCCCCGGCAGGATCCAGCGGGTCCCGATCCCCGGCGGGATCCAGCGGGTCCCGGGGCCGATCCCAGGAAGGATCCAGTGGGTCTCGATCCCCGGCGGGATCCAGAGGGTGTGTGTGAAAGTGCACACGTGTGTGTGATGGTGTGAGTCTGTGTGTGTCTCTGTGTGTGTGTTTGTGCACGTCTGTGTGAGTGTGTGTGTGCATGCATGTGTGTGTGTGTGTGACTGAGTGTGTGCACATCTGTGAGTGTGCGCACATGTGTGCACACGCGTGTGAGAGTGTGAGTGTGTGTGAGAGAGTGTGACAGTGAGTGTGCACATGTCTGTGAGTGTGTGCACATGTGTGCACACGCGTGTGAGAGTGTGAGTGTGTGTGACAGTGTCTGAGCATGCACATGTGTGAGAGTGAGTATGTGAGTGTGTGTTTGTATGTGTGTGAGTGTGCACACGTGTGTGAGTGTGTGAATGTGAGTGTGCACACTTGTATGTATGAGTGTGTGCATGTGTGTGTGAGCATGCACATTGTGTGTGTGTGTGTGTGTGTGAGAGTGTCTGAGCATGCACATTGTGTGAGTGTGTGTGTGTGTGTGTGTGTGTGTGAGAGTGAGCATGCACATGTGTGTGAGAGTTGAGTGTGTGTATGTGAATGTGTGTGTGTGTGTGAGTGTGCACACGCGTGTGTGAACTCGGCACAGGGATTCACGGGGATTCACCTGGAATCCCCAAATCCCTCAGCCCGGAGCCCCCCGAGACCGGCGTCCGGCCGTTCCCTCAGCCGCCAGCCCTGTCCCCAAGTGCCACATCCCCGTGGCTGCTCAGCCCCTCCCGGCAGGATCTGTCCCCAAAATCCCCGAACCCGCTGGGATGCGTGTGCCGCGTGCTCACACCGCCACACACAGCTCTGTGTGCCCCAACACCCTGGGGACACGGCGGGACACCCCGGGGATGTCACACGTGTCCCCGTGCCGGGCTCGGGGCTCCCGGGTGCTGCTGTGGCACAGGCGGTGCCAGCTGAGGGACCTGGAGCGGGTGCGGGCTGGGACAAGCTCTGGGACAGGAGGTGACACGGCTGTGGCACTGCGAGCCTGGGAGTGCCACACGTGCAGACACAGTGACAGGGAGTGTCACACAGCGTGGCAGGGGGGGTCACACGGGCACAAAGGTGTGACAGGGAGTGCCACACGTGCAAACACAGTGTCAGGGAGTGTCACACAGCGTGGCAGGGGGTGCCACACATGCACAGAAGTGTGACAAAGAGTGCCACACAGTCACATAGGTGTGTCAGGGAGTGCCACACGTGCAAACACAGTGTCAGGGAGTGTCACAGGGCGTGGCAGGGGGTGCCACACTGTCACACAGACATGTCAGGGGGTGCCACACTGTGTCATGGGGTGCCACACATGCACACAGGTGACAGGGAATGTCACACATGCACACACCTGTACAGTCACATGGAACAGCCCAGCCAGAGGTGACACACACACACAGACCTGTGACAATGCAAACACACGTGACAATTCACACACATGTGACAATTCACACACACGACACTGCACACACCTGTGACTCTGCACGCCTGTGACAACGCACACACCTGTGACAATTCACATACCTGTGACACTGCACACATGACACTGCACATACCTGTGACAATTCACACACATGTGACACTATACACACCTGTGACAATGCACACACATGACAATTCACACACGTGTGACACTATACACACCTGTGACAATGCACACACATGACAATTCACACACGTGTGACAATTCTTCACACACCTGTGACAATGCACGCTTGTGACGATGCACACACCTGTGACAATTCACACACCTGTGACAATGCACATATGTGACAATGCACACATGTGACAATGCACACACCTGTGACACTACACACACCTGTGACAATGCACACATGTGACAATGCACACCTGTGACCATGCACACCTGTGACCATGCACACACATGTGCTGGAGCAGTGCAGGTGGCTCCTGCGGACAGTGGCCGTGCAGGTGTACAGGGAACCTTTGTCCCCACCCCTGCCTTTGTCACCGCAGCCCGGCCCCATGCCTCAGTTTCCCCCTGAGCAGCACCCGGTCCTGCCCCTCATGGCACAGCCGCCCCAGCACTGATCACTAATTAACAAATCACTAATCACCTTCTGGGTTAATCATTTATTTCTCCCCCTCCTCGCAGCTGTGGTCACCCCTCCCGTGCACGCAGAGGCTGTGCCCAGGGACCTCGGCTGGTCCTCCCTGCAGTGACTCCAGCAGGGATTCCCAGTGACTCCCAGTGACTCCCAGTGGCTCCCAGTGACTCCCAGTACTAACTGCCAGCAGGAACTCCCAGCGGAACACCAGTGAGTTCCCACCCCCACTGCTGCCAGCTTCGGGACACCAGTGCCAGTGTTTCCACCAACATGTGGCACGGAGGGGATGGGGCTGCTGGGGTGGTGGTCTGGGGTCCCTGTGCTCTGTGGCGGGGTGGAGGGCCCCTTGTCCCCGCCAAGTCATGTGCCACCCCTGTGCCACCCCTTTGTCACCCTCGTGCCACCCCTGTGCCATCCCCCACCCCTGTGCCACTCCCACCTCCCATGGCAAAAGCTCAGAGTGTTTCCAGAGCTGAGCAAACACCTCGAGAAGGTCCCAGCAGCAAGGGCAACTGTTTGGCTCCATGCCAGGTGGATTTTCCTGGTTCCCGAGGATTCCCAGGAGTGTCCCCACCCACCCAGGGCACCCCAACATTGCTGCTGCAGCCTGGCTCAGCAACAGCCACCCTCCAAGGGAGACAGGGGTGTACCCAGGCTGGGGACTCCATGCAGTTCCCTGGCACTGCTGGTTTGGCCTCCCTCCCTGTTACCTCTGCATATCCATCCATCCATCCATCTATCCCTCCATCCATCCATCCATCCATCCATCATCCATCATCCATCATCCATCCATCCATCCATCCATCCATCATCCATCCATCCATCATCCATCCATCCATCCATCCATCATCCATCCATCCATCCATCCATCCATCCATCATCCATCCATCCATCCATCCATCCATCCATCATCCATCCATCCATCCATCCATCCATCCATCCATCCATCCATCATCCATCCATCCATCCATCCATCCATCATCCATCATCCATCATCCATCCATCCATCCATCATCCATCATCCATCCATCCATCCATCCATCCATCATCCATCCATCCATCCATCCATCCATCATCCATCCATCCATCCATCCATCCATCCATCCATCCATCATCCATCCATCCATCATCCATCCATCATCCATCCATCCATCCATCCATCCATCCATCCATCCATCCATCATCCATCCATCCATCCATCATCCATCCATCCATCCATCCATCCATCCATCATCCATCCATCATCCATCATCCATCCATCCATCATCCATCCATCCATCCATCCATCCATCCATCCATCCATCCATCCATCCATCATCCATCCATCCATCCATCCATCCATCCAGAGGGGACGTCTCTCCCCAGGGTTAGCATGACCGAGGTGGAACCCGTGCTGGACTTCGCATCCTCCAGCAGGACGGGCCGGCGCAATGCCCTGCCCGACATCCTGGGCTCGCCCGCCGGCGTCAGCCCCGCCGACCTGCCCCTCAAACTGGCCGAGATGTCCCTGAGCGCAGGTGGGTGACCAGGGCAGGTGGGGGGTGTGGGGTGATCAGGCACCGGGGTTCCCGTGCTCATCCCGTGCTCAGGGACAAGGACACCGAGGGGCTGGAGCGTGTCCAGGAAAGGGACGGGAGCTGGGAAGGGGCTGGAGAATTCCTGAGGGAGCTGGGAAGGGGCTGCAGCCCCAGGAGAGGCTGAGGGAGCTGGGAAGGGGCTGAGGGAGCTGGGCAGGGGCTCAGCCTGGAGAAAAGGAGGCTCAGGGGGACCTTGTGGCTCTGCACAGCTCCGGACAGGAGGGGACAGCCGGGGGGTCGGGCTCTGCTCCAGGGAACAGGGACAGGAGGAGAGGGAACGGCCATGGGAGCTCCAGGTTGGATATGGAGGGAAATTTCTCCATGGAAGGGGTGGTCAGGCATTGGAACTGCCCAGGGAGGTTTGGAGTGCCCATCCTGGTCTCAAGGTGGGCATCGGGCACAGGTTTGACTCGGTGCTCTCGGGGCACTTCTCCAGCCCCGGTGACTCTGTGATTCCCCCCGGGTCCTGTCCCGTCTCTCCGGCAGGCAGTGCCCAGGACATGCAGTCGCCCTCGGCGGAGCTGCCCTCCCCGCAGCCGCCCAGCCCCGAGCTGAAGGACACGTCCTAACCCGCCGGGAGCGGCGGAGGAAGGAGCGGCCGCGGGGCACCGGCACAGCTCTCCCGGCACCGCCGGAGCCGCCGGGATCCCCTCGGTGCCGCCGCACGGAGGACCTGGAGCGGCCATGGGGCAGCCGCGCGTGGCGGGGACACGGAGGGGACCTGCCGTGACCAAGGGGCGACTCCCACCCACGCCCTGGGCCAGGACTCGGGGGAGATGGGATGTTTTGGCCTCCCCGGGGGGAGGAATCTTTTTCTTCTGGGGCATTTGGCGGAGCCGAGCGCGGGGGGGTCCCGGGGGGGCCCTCCTGGCCGCAGGAGCAGCCACGGGTGTTTCTTGCTGAGTGTGGTGTTCACTGTGATGTTTTTGGGTACCACCTCGTCTCCTGACCTTTCTTCTGGGTGACTCGGGAGCCACTCCCAATTTTGGGGGGTGAGGTGGGGAAACACAACCCGAGAGCCCCCCAGCCCTTAGGGGAAACTCCGGGGTTGCCAGCACGGCTCTGAGGGATCCCACTGAGCAGCAGAGCACCCCAGCGTGGTCCCCGCTCCTGGGGATGGGTGCCGGTGAGTTTGGGGGTGGGGAGCAGGGCGATGCTGTTTGGAGCAGCCCCAGCCCCCCGAGCCAGGTCACCCACTGTCCCCACGCCGGATCGTCTCCCGCAGCCCCGGGCGGGGCCAGCCGGCTCCTGCGGCGTTTGGGGATGCGGGGAACACAGAGTGCGGCTTTCCGTGCTCCCCAAATCCTCTGCTTCTGCCAGAGGGCGGGCTGGGACCCTCCTGCCCGGGCACCGGGGGACTCCTGCCGGCTCTGGGGGCCGCTGGCCGGAGCCAGGCAGGATGGTCGGACGTGGAGCTGGACCCATCCCATCCCATCCCATCCCATCCCATCCCATCCCATCCCATCCCATCCCATCCCATCCCATCCCATCCCATCCCATCCCATCCCATCCCATCCCATCCCATCCCATCCCATCCCATCCCTCCATCCCATCCCATCCCTCCATCCCGTCCCGCCCCGGACGGTCACCTATAGCTGTCGCTGTGGGACCAGCAAAGGAATCCCCGGCCCAGGGCCCCTCTGGCCACCCCCGCGGACCAGGAGAGCCCCACAGGCGGGGCCACCGTCCCCAGCGCCCCACGGCCACCACCGGGCTCCCGGGCACCTCGGCGTGGAGGGCAGTCCGGGATGGGAGGGGGGGCTGCCTGTGAGGGGACATGTGCAGGGACATCCCTGGGTGTGGGTATCCGTGTGTATGGGCATCCACGGGCGTGGGCACCCATTTACACGGGCGTTCGTGGGCACGGGAGCCCGTGTGCCCATGCATCCCTGTGCGTGTGCATCCCTGTGCGTGGGCACTCACTTACATTGTCATGGCTCCCATGCATGTGGGCATCCATGTGTTAGGGTGGTGGGCACCCCCACACACGGGCATTGATGTGTGGGGGCATCTGTGTGCTCATGGGCACTCGTTTATATGGCAATCATGGGCATGGAGTCCCGTGTGGGTGTGTGCATCCGTGTGTGTGTGCGTCTGTGGTGTGTGTGTGTGCAGGGACATATTTGTGTGTGTGTGCAAGGACATATCTCTGTCTGTGTGTGTGTGTGTGTACATCCGTGTGTGTGCAGGGACATATCTGTGTGTGTGTGTGTGTGTGTGTGTGTGTGTGCAGGAATATCTCTGTCTCTGTGTGTGTGTGTGTGTGTGTGTGTGTGCATCCATGTGTCTGTGCACCTGTGTATGTGTGCATCCATTTGTGTGATCCATGCATGTGCATCCAAGTGTGTGCATCCATTTATGTATGTGTGTGCTTGTGCAGGGGCATCTCTCTGTGTGTGCATCCCTGTGTGTATGCATTCATGTGTGTGTGCGTGTGCAGGATATCTCTGTGTGTGTGTGTGTGTCTGTGCACACGGGCAGTGGCACATGTGAATATCAGTGTGTCTGTGTGTGTGTGCATGTGTGCATCCGTGGTCACAGACGCTCCTTTACGTGAGCATTCATGAGCATGAGCTCCTGTGCGTGCATCTCTATGTGTGTGTGCATGTGTGTGTGTGTGTGTGTGCACATGCAGGGATATTTGTGTGTGTGTGTCCCTGTCAGTGGGTGTCCCTGTCACTGGGTGTCCCTGTCACTGGGTGTCCCTGTGTTGGGGTGTCCCTGTGTTGGGGTGTCCCTATACTGGGGTGTCCCTGTGCTGGGGTGTCCCTGTGTCGGGGTGTCCCTGTCAGTGGGTGTCCCTGTGTCGGGGTGTCCCTGTGCTGGGGTGTCCCTGTGCTGGGGTGTCCCTATACTGGGGTGTCCCTGTGCTGGGGTGTCCCTGTCACTGGGTGTCCCTATACTGGGGTGTCCCTGTGCCGGGGCAGCTGCTCCTCTCAATGTCCCCATCTCGTGGTGCCGTTGTGTACAGGGGACAGGACTGTGCGGGTTTGGGACACTGCCGCCCAGGTGAGGGGACAGAGGACAGCCCTTGCCCTCGGTGTCCCCCCCGGCCTGGGGAATTCATTGTCCCTGTGACCCTGGCGAGCAGAGCCCTGCCGTGTCGCAGGCGGGACAGGGGACACCCATCCCACGGGAGAGTCCTGTGCCCCCCGGGCACGAGGTGAGGGTCCTGCTCGGTGGCAGCGCCAGCAGGAGGACGCCAAACACGAGCTCTGGCTATTTTTGGGTGTCTGCGATGTCACACAGAGGCCAGAGTCAGGGAGAAAGTGTCCCCGGTCCCTCATGGCCCTGGTGCCCGTGAGCCCCACGTCCCCAAGACAAGGGGACACGCTGCAGCTCCGGGCTCAGGGACACCTGAGCCCCAAGCTGGGTCCCTGCGCGGCCCGGGGCGGGGCAGGAGCGGCCACTGTCCCCTGGGCTCCAGGGGACAGCGGGTCCCACGGCCAGGGGTGACCCCACCCACGGGAAGGGGGAAGGGGCCGGGGATGCGCTGGAGCCCAAAGCTCGGGGAGATGGGGGCACCTGCGGGGGTCCCACAGCCCCGTGCCTGCGCTTGTCCCCAGCGTCCCCCCGGCACCCAAAGCAGCACTGGCGGCACCCGCGTGTGTCCCCACGCACACAGGGAGGGGACGAGGTCACACACGTGCCCACACACACAGGCACACCGAGCTGGGGCCGGGTCACGCGTCCCCACAGACACGCGGAATTGAGGGGGTGTCTCACATGTCCCCACAATCTCCTGGAGTCCCCACACGTGTTCCCACACACCTCCCCCGGTGCTCCCTGCTGCCAGTGCCTCAGTTTCCCCAGCCCATCTCCCCTGTCCCCGTGCCTCAGTTTCCCCTATCCCCGTGCCTCAGTTTCCCCAGCCCCCGTGCCTCAGTTTCCCCAGCCCAGCTCCCCTGTCCCCGTGCCTCAGTTTCCCCAGCTCAGCCCCCCTATCCCCGCCACTCGTGTCCCTAAAGGGCGTCACCACTGTCGCTGTCCCCACGCCCTGACCGTGCCCTGCTGCCCCTCCCCACGCACCCACGGCACCACCTGGGGTGGGCACAGACCCCCGGCGCCCACCTCTGCGCCCCCCCAGCCCGCACCCCGCAGAGCCCGGGCACTGCTCAGGGCACGAGTGCCCGTCTCGCAGTGCCATCCCGCCCCGGGCGGGGGGCGGGGGCCGGGCCGGGGGCGGTGGCCGGGCCGGGGGCGGTGGCCGGGCCGGGTGGCCGCTGGCAGCGCTGCCGGGAGTATTTCTGGAGCGCGTTGTGCTCTTTCCAATCATGTGATGAGGACATTATTTAAGGCGCTGCGGGGCCGGAGCAGCTGCAGGCGGTGCCACGCTCGCAGCCATACGGACCCCCGCGTGTCTGCGGCCCCCCCGCGCCCCCTCGCCATGGTCGACGCCTTCGTGGGCACCTGGAAGCTGGTGGACACCAACAATTTCGATGAGTACATGAAGGCGCTGGGTGAGTGGGCGCGGCTGAGAGCGAATTCGGGGTCACATCACCCCTTTTTCACCCCTTTTTTTATTTCCTATACCCCCCCGATTTGCCTGGTGAACCCCCGGCTCCCCACGGGGGTCTGTGGGCGGTGGAGAAGTCGCTGCTGCCTCCGTGGGTGGTTTAGAGGGGCTCTGGGGGTTTGTGCACGTGGGGCTGGGCAGGGTGAGGGGGTCTCGGGCTGGGTGAGGGGGTCTCGGGCTGGGTGAGGGGGTCTCGGGCTGGGTAAGGGGGTCTCGGGCTGGGTGAGGGGGTCTCGGGCTGGGTGAGGGGGTCTCGGGCTGGGTAAGGGGGTCTCGGGCTGGGTAAGGGGGTCTCGGGCTGGGTGAGGGGGTCTCGGGCTGGGTGAGGGGGTCTCGGGCTGGGTAAGGGGGTCTCGGGCTGGGTGAGGGGGTCTCGGGCTGGGTGAGGGGGTCTCGGGCTGGGTAAGGGGGTCTCGGGCTGGGTGAGGGGGTCTCGGGCTGGGTGAGGGGTCGCATCCTTCCCGTGCCCCCCCCAGGGGCAGCCTTTGGCAGAGGGTGGAGGGATGAGATGCCCCCCGTGGGTACTGGGGGATGCTCAGGAACCCCCCCAGCCTTTCCCAGCCGCCGAGCCCCCATCAGGCAGCCCCAGCACGGTCAGGGGGAGTCCCCCAGCAGGGCAGGGAAGGGGGGACAGACAGCACTCCCCCCTCACGCAGCTCAGGGGCTGCTGCTCCCGGGTCCATCCCTCCCTGCACCCCCCTCTGATCCTGCCCCGGGGGCGCACGGAGCCCCCCAGGACCGTGAGCGGGCGGCGGTTTTGGGGTTCCCCCTCCAGCAGCACGGGGAGGAAGAGCTCGGGGGTGATGCCGGGGCTGAGTGGCTCCGTCGTGCCCCTCCACACGCGCTCCCCCTCGCTCCCCAGGCGTGGGCTTCGCCACGCGGCAGGTGGCCGGCTTCACCAAGCCCACCACCATCATCGAGCTGGACGGCGACAAGGTCACCGTGAAGACCCAGAGCACCTTCAAGAACACCGAGATCACCTTCAAGCTGGGCGAGGAGTTCGACGAGACCACGGCGGACGACAGGCACGTCAAGGTGAGCCCCCCGCCCCGCCGCGCCCCGCGGCACCCCCGAAAGGCTCCGTGGGCTCCGGGGGTCGCTCCGCCAGCCCGGGGCTGCTCCGGGGCTCCGTCCTGGCTGCCCGTGCGAGGGGACCGGCCCCGAGCCCGCCGGGGCTGCCCTGCAGCCGCTCCGGGCCGGGCAGCACCCCGGGGCCGTTTTGCAGCGGGGCTCTCCGGCAGGACGGAGCTGCCGGGAAGGTTGTGCAAGAGCCGGGCTGGCGAGTGCCAGCTTGCTCAAGAGAGGCCGTGGTGGGGTGGTGGGAAGTGTCCCTGTTCCGGGGCTAGAGGGGCACCACCCCTGTTTTTTGAGCCCCCTCCCCTCTGTGCTGCCCTCCCAAGCAGGCAGCGCTGCAGGG